GGCGCCACCCGACAGCCCCGCTGTGGCTGGTGGGGACGGAGGGGACATTGGGGTTTGCCTACTGGTCCTGCAGTCACCCAGCTCCAGAGGTGCCACAGCTGTGTCCTCCTTGTACCCCCCATGCCAGCCCAGGAGCCATGACGGCCGCCCTGCACCAACCCTGCGCGCGATGCTCTGTGGGTCCCCGGGGTGCTGAGCATCCAGGTCTGGGGACACGGGACAGCAGAGCTCACCCCGCAGGGCTGCATTAGTGACCCCACTGCAGGGGGCCCACAGGGTGAGCTCCCCACATGTACCTGCCCCAGGGGACAGGCAGCGTCCCCCGGGCAGTGACTCCTGCCGAGAGCAGCTCAGTGCGAACACCAGACCAGAACTCTCCGGAACAAAACTCTCGTGCCAGGGAGCACCGAGCATGTGGGAAATGTCAGGCACCGCTCACCTGCGGCCGCAGAAGCAGAACCTGGGGCAGACACCGGGTCCCACCGGGCACTTCGCAGGAATTCAGAAACCTCAGGCCACGGCTCTAAGTTTGTGCGATGACAGAGCAGAGGGCTGGACACAAGCTCTGCACTGGTCATTTCCATAACAATGCCAAAATTGGCTAAATCAGCGCTGGAAATAACCTCGGAGCTAACGAGCGCCGTTAGACAATAGAGATGACCCATTTAGACCAGCCTTGGCAGCAGAGGGTGGGAGCCGATGGCCTCTTGCTCCTGAGAAAGTCAGAGCTTCGAGTACTCGCTGTGAACAAAGAGAACCCACGGCTCTGGCGTGAGGGAAAACAGAGGGAACAGGCAGCTGAGGACAACTCCTTTTTTTTTATTGAAGAAAGAATGAGTAAAAACACTTTTATTACACAAACATTAAAAGGGACAGAAACTCAGGACAACAAGAAAAACACAGAAAAGACACAGACAGTCGAGAAGTAGCGCTATCGAAACGGCTCTGAAAAGCAAAACGTGGCTGGAGAAACACTCCAGGGAAGTACCTCGAAGGGGAAGGGGACAGTTCCCCGTGTCTGCCGAGGCACTCGAGCACAGGAAGGTGACCACCCTGGGGGACGGAGATGATGAAGGGGCCATGCTCGTGGGGCAGAAGCCACCTCATCCTTCTCCAGCACAGGGGAACCTGCTGCTTCCCATCGCGCTGGGACAACCCGCCGGCTCCCCTGCGAGTTCCCGCTGATCAAAGATCCTCGGATGGAGAACACCCGCCCTGCCTCTGCCCTTCGCTCAGCACCACAGACGCCCGTCCAGCTCCAACAGCACAAGGCATCGGGCGGCGTCTTTTACCTGGGGGTGACCTCTGGGCTGAACCGACCAGCCGAACGCGGCGTTTCCTGGCAGCCAGGCAGATAAAACTGCCAACACCGAGCACGGCGTGAAGACAAGTCTGCACAAACCTCCATTACTAAAGCTGAAGTGAAAAAAACCAAAGGCTAAAAACTCAGAGCGGCAGAGGTTGAGCAACAGGGGCCTGCAGGGACACACAGGACTGCAGAAGAGCGAGGCAACGCCAGCGCCGAGTCCCAACCGTCCACACCTCGCCTGTCTCTGTGGTTGTGGAGTTAAAATCTTTTAGAGCTTTTATTAATTGTTAAGGTATCTAAAGACGAAGGTATCTATTTAAAAGGATTTGGTATGTTCTAAAGTCTACTTTAACATTAAAATGACCACAAAGTGTCAGAAGACTCCAGCTGGCTGATGGGGAAGGGCCTCAGCACCAGCTGGGCACAGGCTCCGGTGTTCGGGAGAAAGGGGAGTGTCTCTGTTTAAACAAATCTAGGGTATTTTAAACCAAGAAAAATAGAGCTATCTTCACTTGCGACAAACATTTTCGGGCTAGCTTAAATTAGGTGAGAAGTATCTCCCAGTCTGAGATGTTGCTCTTTGGTGAGAGCTTGTCAAGGGCTCTGCTGAAGGCAAGTTCGCAGATCGGCTTGGACCAGCAATTCAAAATCTTCATGAAAATTCAAAACGTATCATCCTCGTCGGACTCCTCCACGTACTGGACAGGCTTTCTGAGACGCCCAGGCCTGGCGTGGGGCACGGCTGCTACGGGACTGTCCGAACAAGCAGCTAAGTCGACGGTAAAGCTATCATCGTCTTCCAGCTTGGATTTCTGGAGGGGAGGCACAGTCAAGAAGCAAATTATGAGCCTGAGTGTAATCAAGGAACACTCAATTAGCATAAACCGCCCCGCTGTGCCACGGGGAAGGGGGCTGCTCCGACCAGCGAGACCAAATCAACAACCTGGGACACTCACGTGTGCCTCAGCCCCCCTTCTCGCCCCGCTGCCCCTCCAGCCACGGCCCGGGGCTGCCCCTCGGCTCCAACCGGTGGCGGGAAACAAACCTTTGCTGCAACAGATTTGGAAGGCTTCAGGCCAAAATCTGAATCCGAATCTGAAAAGCTCGGCAGCCTTTTGGCAATTTTTTGGCCCTTGGTCACACCGGACTTCTTGCCACCCGCTGGCTCGGCCTCGGGATCCAGGGAGCGGCCCTTCGGCGCCGCCTTGCTGGGTTTGGGCGCAGCCTTTGGCTTGGTCAGAATGTCCACGATGGACGGCTGGTGATCTGGAAGAGAAGCCGGCCGTTACACCCGCGTCCTGCTGCCCCTCTGCTCGGTCGCAGTTTGGGAATCGCTCCCAACACAAACACGGCTCGGCGCTCCACCGCGAGGTCAGCGCACGGGTCGTCTCGTTTCGAAGCGCGGTTTTCTACGAGGATTGCCCTTTCCCAAGAGGATTAGAACTGAGGTTGTTTATCTCCCTGGTTCCACTGCATTTAGAGGATCCAATTAACATGTACCCAAAGCAATTCACAGACCATTTCAGATGGCAAAGTCCTGGACTCTCAAGGCTGCACAACCAATCTCACACCTTCCGAACTTTTGCACAGGGAAGAAATTGCCATCTACACTAAAGAGTTACTTGAGGAGTTCTGTCTTACCTCCAGTTTGATATTTTTTTAGCAGCACCTTGCAGCGTGTCCCAGAGTCAAGCTGGAATGAGCAGGCCCTTTCTGAATGGTGACAGCCTTGCTCACTCAGAAGTGGAAGGAACTGCTGCTGTTTTGCTGTGAAGCAACGTGTTCTCCTACGGCTGGGTTCAAACCCAGCCAGTGATGGACTATGCAAAACAGCTTTCAAAGTCTGACAAAGACTCTGGGCAGTTAAGTTTAAAAAAACCCCAACCAAACCCCAAGTCAAACGTTGTAGATTTATGAGGTTGAGCTAGCACTAAATAGATCAAGCTACCCCAAAGAAGCTTTTCTCCTTCCCGAGCAGCAACCACCGAGTAGCTTTCCTCCCCAACAGACATGAAGTGGAACATTGACTGCAAGACACAAATTCCACTCGGATTATTTCTGCCAAGTATTACATAGCGCTGTAGGAAGCATTCACTTTTCCTGTTCCCAAACTCAAATTCCCTCCCTCCAAGCATGTCTGAGATGAACTAGAACACGATATGTTTGGAAACAGGCTTCTTCAGAAATGACAACAGCTAGGCAACCTTTGCCACAAACCTCAGATCTCCTCTGAAATGAAAACCTTAAGTTGCTCGGGCCTGGCAAAAGCACTCAGACTTGTTTCCCACAGGAATAATAACGGTTATCTAAAAATGATCGTACTAAACTTCGCCTTACCCTTAGCAGCACTGCCCTTCTTCGCGGCAGTGGGCTTCTTAGGTACGGCCTTACCGCGAGGCACAGAGACAGAAGGAGCTGCAGGAGCTTGGCTCACATTTTCGTTGCCAACATCTTGGACTTGAGCTGAATAAAGAAAGCAGAAAGTTAGTCCGAAATATTCAAATTATCTACTCTGGCTAAAAACATCGGGGCAGAAGGAAATAATTTCGATCCACTTTATAAACAGAACAACTATTAAAACTGGATTAATCACAAATTCAAGCTAGAAGCAGACAAAAGGGCTGGTGTGCAGAAACCAGCTCGTACTCTCGCAGCAACGGTTCTTTGCAAGGTCTTGTGACCCACGTCTGCTTCCGGCGGTGCTAAGCACCGGTCGGGAATGCCAGGGGCTCTCTCGTGGGGTCTTAGGAAAATCACCAGGGTTCAGAAGGTCTGGCACTCACCAGGGATTGTGCTTTGCACTGGCTTTTGCTTCGGAGCTTTAGCTGCTTTCTCCGTGGTTTCCCTAGAATACAAAACCCCGAGTATTTTTTCAACTTACGATGCACTAAATAGGTGCCTTCAAGAAAAGGAGCTATTAATTCCTACAGAGCATTAACACTAGAAGCACAAATTTCCAGTGACTATGTGGAGAAATACTCACTTCGGAGCAGTTCTGGGCTTGGGAGCTTTTTTCTTTGAGTCTGTATCCAGCTCAGCGCAGCCTTCACTGCTGATCTGAAACTCAGACTCATCTGAGCTCGAGGGATTTGCATCCGAGTCCGAACTGATTATGGCCTTGACTTTGGCTGATGAAATGACACAGAAGTATTATTTTACACGTTTGGCAATATGCAGTTTGGCTGAAAATCTGCTCAAACGGGACAAATGTGTAGTTGTTACATACAGTAAAATAAATAAGCCTCCTAAGAAATGATTTTATCTGAGATCTCAGGCTCTGGCAGCTCTCTAAACAGCCCGTTCAATTTTCTCCTCCACAGACCGGCCCTCTTCCGCAGCTGCGGTGTCACTCACCTGCTGCTTGGCGAACCACTCGCTCTCTTTGAGGAAGAGCTTCAAAATCAGACTCTGAATCAGACCCTGAGTCAGACCAAACGTTTTGTTTCTTCATTTTCTTTAGGGGCTTAAATGGTAGAGTGGCCTGTCTCTTAGTACCTGCAAAATATCAGGAGGCAGGATGAACCCCCCAGCTCACACGTGTATTCAGGCTCAGCAGTTCAAGCTCGACTCAGAAACACATTCTAAATTCAGAGGAATCTGGCTTAAACATCGAAGAGAAATAGTAATCTATCCTGCCTGACTGTTATCCAGCATCATTTTCTCTCTCACACGGTTTTTCCAAAACTACTGATCCTGGCTGTTACTCGTCACCTTCAGGAAGAGGTCAGACAACCACACGTACAACCCTCCTGCTCACTTTCCATTGATGGAATAACACATGAAAGCATTTACCTTTCTCAGTATTAAGCTTCCGCGCTAATCTCTGCTTAAGGCCTGCAGGCTCTTTCTCTTCTGATGTGTTTTCTTCTCGATTCTCATCAAATTCAGTTTTTTCACTCTGCAGGTAGGAGCAGATTTCAAACAGAGAGCGAGTCAGCTCATACTGTGAGCAGAGACACACGGAGTAAAGTACGAAGGAGCTGCTTGTGTTAGACGTGGGGAAGTGAGTGACACAAGAAATGTGAGTTTGTGAAACAAACTGCGTGTGAAATTGATCACAGCCAAGCAAAGCAGACTTGATCTGCCCCCAGATCAGGTGGCTTAAAGCACAAAATCCAACATACACAAAAACAGGAACTCTGTCCCCGCTCCTGTGAGCGCTTCAGTCCTGCCTTTGCGAGCCGGTGGCACGGCGCTCGGGTGTGCGGAGGATGCAGGAGCGAGCAGGGTGGGTTAAAAACAACAGTGCAAGTTATTTGGAAAAACCGTTAGATGGAACCATCTGTAGGAAAGGAGCAGCATGTCCGGCTCGTGGGTCAAAACAGGGGAGGGGATATTTTAACTCTGTGTTGCACGTGGCTGAATGGTATAATTTCAACTTGCCCTGCAAAGAGAGTCAAGTCTCCTTCACCTCCATATCGAGAACAATAAGAGTGCGGAGTGGCTGAAAGCTCTGCTGGAAATGCAGACTCTGTTCCAGAGGTGAATTTCCCAGCTGTATTGACGAGGATGCAAAGATTTGGAATGTTTCTTTTTACCTTTATTTTCTTTTTAGTCTTCTTCTCTGCTTCTGCCTTCATCTCCGCCGTTATCCGAGGAACAACTCTTACGCCATGAGGCGAGGGCATTACCTCTGCCAGCTGCATCTTCTTCACCTTCGTTTTCCCTCCTTTCCCCTTTAGAGGTTTCCCAGCACACCCTGCCATCTCGTCCTGCTTCTCTTTGGCTTCCACTGCCTGCAGAGGTGGGAGTAAAGTGACGTGAGAACACAAAAGAAACCAGTGAGTGCTGGAAAAACCCAGCACAGCAGAGCCCCCACAGTAAAGCTTGCCCTCGGTGAGGACAAGACAGAGGAGTTATCATTTTTAGTTTCCTTGTTGTGACAAAAGTGCCAATAAAGAGCTGGTGGATATGACCCCAAGGGAGTCAGTCACCCGCCCCGAACATCAACATACATCAAGTTCTTCAATAAAGACAGCAAGGTCTTCCTTCCACAGATCAGAGGCACTCTTGCACTTCAGGTTTTCCAGCTCCTTTTCCTAAAAGGAAATGTGGATGACAATCATTAGACACGTAATTTAATCCACCATCAAAAAAAACCCCCAACAGCGTCTTTATAAGAAAAGGAAGGAACATACTTTGTTATCTCGCTGCTTACAGAGCTCATCTTTCTTCTCTTTAGTCAGATACCAAAGGGGCATGTTCAGCAGATAGTTGAAGTCTGGTCCAGCAGATGCAGCTGATTCTTTGTCACTCTCTTCCTTCTCCTCCTCCTCCTCCTCCTCCTGAATGTGGATTTAAAACAAACATTTTCAACAAATATACTGACATACAAGGGCAGGGCTGCCAATCAGATCCCGACTGCGTCACAGGTGCTCCATGTGCCTATGGTGTCCGAGACTTTTCTAGAATTCAGAAATGGATAAAGTTAACACTTCTTATAAAGCCTCAGCTGCTACTGCATGGAAGAATCCACCTGCAAACACTTCTCCAAATCTCCTTTGCTCAGCTCTGTTTGGCCTCTGTCTTGATAGTCCAGATCTCTCCTCAGGCTACTTAAAACCATCATCTTCCCCACAGCCCTTCCACTAATGTGTCCCACAGGCAGAAGGAAAACCTTAAGCAAGAGCAGAAATTGCTGTGGCGAGAGTACTGGACCCAACAGACTTAAATCGGTGCCTTCTGAACAAGAAAGCGAATTTTTCATTGTCCTACATTTCCTATCACAGACACATCAGACACGCAGGCTCTTGGATCCTACAAACTGAAAAGGAACTTGGACTCCTCTGTATGAATCAGAAAGTTTCAGAGACAGGGGCCAGCTGGGATCTATTTGGAGAAGGTGGCTGAAGCATTTATTACCTTGTTTTGCGATTCCTTCCAAGCCTTCACTGGATCCGATTCATACCCTCTCTGGACAAGAACTTGGATCAGCTCTTTCTTGGGTTTGTTTTCTGCAAACAGACATTGCAGCGTTGTCAGTGACCAGTACCAAACGCTGTTAGGAAAGTCCTATGAGCTTTAAATTTTGGGTCTCAAGGTTCTAGCAGCTCAGCATCCTACTGGGCTCTTAAGCAGCTTTTGCTCCTCAGAGCTGGGACATGCAGAAGAGCCTGAAGTAACACCTAAAAAGTTCCTACTACAGGTCAGCATTGCTCCTGTACCTGTCAGGAACTCCTGCCAGAGGACTGTAAACATTTTTATTCTTCATTTCCATGTACGCATTTTCCCTGCCCTACATGGTTTTTTGACTTGGAAAAGAAAAGGCGTGATGGAATCAAAAAGGTTTTAGGATAGCGGGCAGGCAGATGGAGGAAAAAAACCTTTTGGTACAGCTTGTATCTCACTAGATGTCACCTGGGAAATCGATGCTGTAAGTGCCCCGACTGATGGAAATGCTTCAGCTGGAATTTGTTGCTTTTTACAATATCAGAAGCAATCAACTGTGAGACACAAACACAAATGAAACCAGCTCTGCCAGCCTTGGAACTACTTATCACAAAAACCCAAGAAACTGCGTTTCAAGGGAATTATTTCTCTTCTGGAGTCCAGTCAAACAGACACAGGCTGTTGGGATTATCGGGCGCAAACCACAAAGCATCTTATGACCCTTGGTCTAGCAGCATCCTCCATGAAGGCGAGCGAAACACAGGCTGCTTTTTAGGCTGAGGTGGAAAAGTGGATTGAACAATTTGAATGCTGGGAACAAAGATCTGTTTCTTCTTCTAGCTCATGATTCTCAGATGCTGCTAACTTGAGCGTCTTCTGAGTTTGAAACCCCAATCCACTGAGAGCATGGTTTGGAATGTTTTTGTAGAGGGTCACAAAGATAAGACGGAGAGATATGGGTTCTGAAGAGGTCTGCCTTTCAACAAAACCACTGCCGCTTCCTAGCCCCACCAGTACTTAACTCTAATTCCTACCAAGTCAGAACTAGACAGGAATTATTGCTAAACTACAGAAAAACATTCCTACTCTCAGAATAGCATCCAACACGCAGTAGGAAAGCTGTAGTATCCTGCTTTAATATGTGCATCGTGCTCTATAGACCAAGGATACTCCGTGAAGAATTTTCCTCTTGTGTGTTACTGGAACAGAAAGATAAGCTCTGGTGTAGTTTGTTAAGAGCCAGTCTGGGGCTGAGGAGGTGCTGACAGGGCTCAAGGGAGCACCTAGTTCTTCTCCCAGTGCCACAACCCACGTAACCAAGAGCAAGACGTACCGATCACAATTTTGCCGTCTATTTTCTCCAGGATGAAACGCGCCTGGTTGCTCAGTTTTGCAGACTCGGCACCCAGCATTCCAATAAGCCATTCTTTTCTCAAATTGTAATATCGGAGCCTGAGTTCAAAGAACTCTTTAAGAATATCCTGAGGAGAGTCGTACTTCTTGAGAAAGCCCACGTGGTCAAAAAGAACCTAGATGAAAGAAGAGAGGCATTACCATGATAAAACTTGATTCCCAAACCCGCTGAAAACCCCCTATAGCACAGGTGGGGTATCACAGTTGGATTAGCCAAGAAATTCTAAAACCTTAGCGTTGTTTTAGAAATCACTTCAGCCTGCAAGCACAGCAGCAGAGGCAAATTTTAAGAATTTCAAAGCTCTTGGAGAGACACAGCAGGGTTAAGGTCACTTGAATCTTATCTGTAGGGTAAACATCTTGCATCCAGCTTCACACCTTGTCAGGACCAGCCACTCAGTGTCACAACAAAGGTCTCTGAACTGGGGTTTCAGATCACTTTGACTCCTCTAGGCAAACCACATCCCTGGGGCCCATTCCCAGGCCAGTCTCTTGACCTTTTGAAGTATATTTGGAAAGCTGATTTAAAACCAGCAACAGCAGAAAAATCAAAATGAATACATTCCTGTAAAAGAGTATTTTTGTTAGATGCCGCGGCTGCAGCTGTCCACGCAGCCTGAGTGAAACGAAGAAATTTCTTCAGCGAGATTACGTACCATGGAGTTGCATGTTAAACTTGTTTGGAGTTTGAAGACCTTGTGCAGCCCCATTGCTTCAGCTTCTGCTAGTTTGTCTTCGGTCATCTTCACTATAAACCTCACTGTCGTGTCCGTGTGATATTCCTTGTAGTCTGTGATGAGCGGGGGGGCCTTCTCGGTCCCATTTAACATCGGCTCCAGAACTTGCTCTTTGTAAGTCTGAGAAAAGAATCAAAGTCAGGCCCATGTCTTCCATGGAGATAAAAAGCTCCAAAACCCACTGACCCCTTTTTGCTCTGCAGGGCAAAGCACAGCGTGTCCCCAGGGCAAATCCGCTGTTTATTACCTGTGTCCACGTTCTGACCGGCAGCTCAGTGATCTCGATGGTTGTGGAATCAAGGATAGACACTTCACCACTTATCACGTACTGATTAGCTCCCAGCTCATCTATGGTGCCATTGAAATTCTTGTAACTAGGAAGCTAAGCAGAAAAGAACATCCGATTCAGCATCGTGTTGATGCTTCTGGTTTTTTAAATACTTGCCTGAAATGCTCTGATACGTGCTGAACTAGCTAACGAGCAAGAAGCTGTTTTTTAAGCACTTACTTACCATGGGCAAGGGCTCTTCTCCTTCCATCAGCCGACGGATGTTATTCACAACTTCCCTGATGTCAAAGTTGGGGATCTTACAGGACCAGCCAGTACCGATCCCTTCTGCCCCATTTATGAGCACCATGGGGATGATGGGCATGTACCACTCGGGCTCCACGCGCTGGTTGTCGTCATACAGGAACTTCAGGATGCTGTCGTCCATCGGTGGGAACACCAACCGTGCCAGGGGGCTAAAATGGAAAAGAGAACACAAGCCCAAACTCTCGTTACATATCTGTATCTAGCATCCACTTCAGTTGTTGCTATTTCGAGTACGGAAGGAGCCCAAGGGTTCTAAAGGGAAACAGTACATTCATTTTTCATTTTAAATGCTGTCAGATTGAGTCCTGTAACATGCCAAGGATATTTAAGGCAGCAAGAAATCTTCAGCGCTGACCTGAGCATGGTGAAGATGTATCGAGGGCTGGCAGAGTCCTTCCCACCGTGCAGCCTGGTGCCGAACTGACCAATAGGCTGCAGCAAGTTGAGGTTGTTACTGCCCACAAAGTTCTGAGCTAAGTTAATAATAGTCATCATCAGCGATGCCTGCAACAAAGGAAGGTTTAAAGCTAAAAATGCAGAATTCTTCACTGGATGCACAACATTAAAGGCAAAATTCACACCAAGAACAGAAATGACATAAAGGATAAACTCAACTAATCAAACATCAGAGAAAACTCTCCTGGAAATGCATCCCAAGACCCTCTAGTGTGGATGCCGAGAGCTATTTGGGTGACCCACCATATGTTGCTGTCTACTCGCTCTTGAAACCCTCGGTGAAAGATTCTATCAGTCTCCCAAGAGAAACTTGTTCTAGTGGTCAACTTGTCCTTACCTAGGCAGAAAGCTTACACCTATCACAGACGAGGCAAGCTCTTTCCTCCTCTGCTTTTTGAATTAAACACACTCCCATCAAGTCCAGGGAGGATAGGCAGGTTGACCATCAAATTCCTACTGAAGTATCAGTATCGGACATACAGCCCCTTCACTTTGGTGTTTATACTCACACATCTAATTCAGCTTTAGAGGCATCTTAACCGCCAAAGTCAACGCAAGGGCTTTCTTGCCTTTCACTTAAAAAGCATTTTGCACAACCAGGCCAGGTTCTTACCTCACCGTGATGGTATGAGGACATCTCAGCTACAGAACCAGCCAGCTGAGCTACCTTCACCTCCCGCTTATCATTTCGCTTGAAACACGTGAAAAGAACTTTTCTTTGACCTGGCTTCAAACCTGTATAAAAACAAAACCACCTTTTGATTAGAATGTACAATGTCTCACTCAGTTCCTTCTCTCTAGAGACTAAGAACTACTTATCAACCTAAAGATTCGATACCAGGAGAGTAAGGTTTTTTCAATAACACACTACAAACTGGACAAGATACTTAATCCAAAGACTAAACCACTTGGACAGCAGAAAACGGACTTCAGAAAACTGACCCTGAAAACTCAGCAGGTTCCCTGGTTCTGACTGTGTACAAACAGCCATTTATGACGTTGTCAGAACGCACTGTGCAGAGCCACTATCTTGAACTAACTTACCATCAACCAGCGACGGGATTGATCTTTCATTATCTGAGTTTGAGAACAGCACTAACTCCTTGTTGATGAAGTCGTTGTATGTCAGGTAATTAGTGTTTTTCCCATATAGGTATTCCTAAGAAAAACAGGGGGGAGATTGCCTTAATTTTAACGAGATCTAATTTGATTCTTAGCTCGTGCTTGACTAGTTCCACTGAAATGGAAGTGGCTTTTAAGACTAGCTAAACACAGCTCACGTGCCGGTCCCCTTTGCATGGCAAAGCAAAACATCACTTCCCAGGACGCAGGCCCATTTTCTGAGAAATAAAGTCTTTGTGCAGTCCTGCCCGAGTTGTCATTTCCCCATCGATAAAGCAATTTGAAAGATAAGACTTAAAAATGAAACGAACTGTTGGACAACTGACAACGAGGTGACCGCTGATAAGATGAGAGGAACAGCTGCTCTGCAAAACCCCGAAGCGTTTCAACCATCTCGTAATCCGGTGACCGACTCGCAGCGGCGTCTGAGCCGTGTGCGGCCAGACCAGAGCCAAGAACAGCCCCAGGGAGGGAGGGAGGGGAAAACTAGTTCCCTTCATGTGTGCAAAACCTTTTACCTCTGGCAGACCGTGCAGCTTCCGTTGTCTTCTATCCTCCATGAAATTAGTCAGCCACTCCTTTCGCTCTTCTATTTTCTTCCTGCTAAAGGCCTGCGGACCACAAAATGAAACGTGACTCGATTCTAGAACAGTCTGTGGTGCCCTGTAGGATCACTCGAGTTAAAAAGAAAGCACGCAGGAAGAGTTTACCCAGGAGAACAACATCCTAAACAGGCTGACTTAGCAGCCCACGAAGCGCAATAAAAGCTTCTTGTAGCTAAATGTACTACGAGCATAATTTCCAGTCTGTAGGAGCCAGGGCAGTTTGGCTTAAATGCACGGATTTTTAACAAAAAAATGGAAAACTAAAGCAGATTTGGGGGGAAATGAATATTCTGGGTAAACCTTTGTTTTTTCTGGCATTGCCTAACAGCTCAGAGTACTTAAGAGTTAGTGAAGAAGGTTCACCGGTGAAACATTTGGCAAGAAGAAAATCTGGGGGAGAAAAGGAACGTCTGATTTGGAGAAAACTGCAGCAGAACATGCCGAAAAAAAGTTAGAGGAATATTTACTATTGTGTCTGAAAATGTCAATTGGGTTGTAGCGGCAAGTTTGTTCCAAGCTATGTTTAAAAGCCATCATTAAAAGGGTACTCTTGGCCCGAGGTCTGTGGGCAGATTTGCTTCTGCTGGTTAGACTAAAGCTGTAGCCTTGGTAACAAAGAGGTTGTCTCAAGCCCAAAGGCCTCTAAGAGCATTTTAAGAGAAAATACCCGGCACTCTAAGCAGTACCATCCCAAAAGTAGTAAGTCAGCAATTAAATGAAGTGCTAGTTACCAGGGTGATCGCAGCATCATCTTCAGGCCCCGAATATTTGAAGCCAATTCGATGTTTTGCCATATCTGCAAAGTATTCTTTAGCCTCCTTCGATGTGCTGGTACCCAAACCTGCAGAGATGGAACTCGCTTAATCCTGATAACTTCTTGCTTAAACTAACTCGCAGTTCAAAGAAACATTTGCTGTGCCTAGCTTCTGTGACACACCGAACAAATGCACGGCAGGAAGACACCTTGCTGAAAACTTGGGAACGAGATGTCAGGTGTCCCAAAAAATCACAAGAATTGCAGAGAAGCGGGCAGTTGCCTGTTGTACTTCTGGATTTTGTCTGTGAACTCCCGTAGATATCCGAAACAATTAACTGCGGATTGGCAAGGATTCCTCATCACCCAGACCTTGCTCTGCCGTTGGCACCTTTCTTACTGGCGTTAAGCAATTCTGGAGCAAGTGAGCAGTACACAAGGGCTGTGCCATGGCAAATACCACGTAAAATTCTGCATAACTGCCTAAGGGGGCTGAAAGAATGGTTACCTACAGTATTGTAGCTCCATTTGGAGAGATGTTATTGAGCTTTTATCTGGTCAGAGGTTAGTGTTTCCTTACTTTTATATTTTAATGCCGTGTGTATTTGTAATCAGGATATCTCAGAAGGACGCCCAGTCCAAACTCCTTTGTGCAGAAGCAGCACTAACTGAATTTAATCGTAAATCAGTTTTCTACAAACCTTTATAGTACTTGATCTTCCATGAATTGTGGTTGTGTGTACTGTTCTTCCATTCTTCAAATTCAGGAATGCTGTAGAATGCGATTTCTTCTTTGTTTTTAGAAGCCTACAATGAAGAAACATTTAATTGTGAAACGAGGCCGGTTTGGACCCATGGATCCGTCCTCCTTCAGCTCACCATCTGCTCAGTCCTTACTTTTATGATGGGAGTAATAAATTCCTCCAAAAAGTTGTGTCTTAGAAGAGATGGCCAGTTGTGATGGATGAAGTTAATCAGCAAACCTTTGATATGCGATCCGTCTTGATCCTGATTTGAAAAGAAAAAAAGAAAAAGTAAGAAAAAGACATATTTTATCAGGGATATGATAAATCGACAATTGTTAGCTTAACAGCAAATGACTCCATAACTGCAGTTAACTGATCCTATTAACTTTCTGAAAAGGTGACCAAGTGTTCTCTAACTACTGAAAATGAAGAGAAACAGAAAAGGCACACTCCTGGTGAAAAAAGGTATCAAGGACGGGTCAAGGACCTTGAGTCAGCAGACTGGAAAGCCAGCATTTGGCTATTTGGTGATGCTACTCCCCCCTCTACTTTATCTGTTTTGTTTTGTGGCTGAGAAAGACATTATGACCCACTAAAATAGAGATGATAAAAAGAAACAGAGAATTTAGGTGAACAGTGGCACTAGGAGAAAGGTGGCATTTTCTTCTTTCCTCTGTGTTCAAGTGTTCTTTTTTTTTACTCTCTCAGTTTTCAGTTGTAGTGAATCTCACCTGATCTGTCATAATCATAATCTTCCCGTAGCGAAGACTCTTTAAAGATTCTTCATCTTCATAGTTCTTTTTATATTGCAGACCCACAATCTTGATGATGTTGTTGATTTCAGCGTTCTCCATAATCTGCAAAAGATCACATGGAATCAAAACTTGCCTTTCACACTTAAAAACGTAGCTTAAAAAAAAGGCTAAAATTGTCCCTGAATGAGGGACTGAGCTTTGTCTTGTCAGTGCTGCTTTGCTGCTCACAAACGTATCGTTTTAAAATGGAAGTGTAACGCTTAAATTATTCTAGATCATTCCAAGCATTTTCTAGTCCACAACACAGGCACTATCCCTTCAGGCAAAACACCGAACAGGACTAATCAATATTCCCGTTTAACCAGCAAGGCAGGCTGAGGATGAGACTATGCCAGGGTGTCGGAGATGCTACTCCTGGGGGTTACAGTGCTCCAGGTGTTCAGCTCTACCGGCTCGGTTAAAAAAAGAACTAAAAATAAATCACATTACACCCAGCACACCGCCCCTTCCGATGTGGAGACTATGATTTTCCAACCAACCTGCTTATGAGAAGCTTCCCTGACGTTGAGTATTTTGCCACGAAGGGGAAATACTCCGTATTTGTCTCGACCAACTACTCCTAGGCCAGACACAGCCAGTGTTTTGGCCGAGTCGCCCTCAGTCAGGATAAGTGTACAATCTAGAGAATTCTTGCTGCCTAAATAAATAAATAAATGAATTCAAGTCAGTTTTCTAATTAAGAAGTGAAATCAAAGCCTGCACCCTCACAAACTGAATGAGAATACATATCTAGCACATTACACACTCAGGTTTTGTTGTGCTGCACATAGCGAATGGGGATAAACAGAGTAAACAGGACTGTAAAGCAGGGATAAGCTACAATTACATGTTTTCTCTTTTTTCCTTAGGAACCAATTCTTTCACGTTTATCTAATGAACAAGGTTTAACTGTTTCTGAATGGAGGGGTGCACAGGATGTAAAACACTTACCAGCATCATTGGCGTCATCCAGCTTAGGAACACCCTTAATCTTGGTGTGTTTCACGGCCGAACACTTCTTATTCAGCTGGCTCTGAGCTTTAAATTTTACCCAGTTTAGGATACTTTCAACAATGCCACAGCCAACTGCCTGCAATGCAAAAAAATTGTAGGAAAAGCCTTAACAATGGCAGAATTCTAAGTTACAGACTTTTCCTTTAGTTCATGACATGACTTCAGAAGCATCTGTCTGCCACACGGAACACAAGCAGCAGCTTTACAGACACCTTGATCGTCCGCGTACATCGATACTTACGCCCTTAATGAATTTTTCACTCAGTTTACAGGTTGAGCCAAAGTTCTTTGCCTGCAGAGTCATGTTCTCCTTCGTCTGAGAGTCAAAGGTTGGGTTTTCAATTAAGGCGTTCACGAAAATCCACATGTGGTTCTTCACCTAAAGTGAAACACAGCGAGTGCCACACGTTGTACAGGCTCGTCTCGGTAACGGCCGCGCGTTCGGACATTTGCTGTCAGAATCGCAGTGAGGAAAAAAAGCATTATCCCTCTGAATTTTCCTAGATGTTCAGGAATTTAGGACGTGAACAATGTTCTATGATTTGGGACATCAAGGAACGGGCAGCTCTCAGACTAAACAGGTATTATCTAACAGATACGGGGTTTCAGGGCATCCACACTGACGGGTAGTGCTCTGATTACAACGTACATCAGCCAGACTAAGAAAAGATTGTTAATTGGCTTAAACTTGACAATATGAGACTTCTATAGTCAGCAACTCGGGATATATTGTCTCTACAATGGAAATACGTAGATCTAATTAATGTAGAAATGCACTAAGCTGCAGCTAAAATTTGCAATAACGCAAGAGCGGCATTTCTCACTGCGAAAGTTCTGATGTCGTACCTGAAAAGGCTTCACTCCAACTCCATTCTTGTTCTTCTTTTTCACAACATCAATAATTTTAGTCACGAGTTGGTCAGCTACATAATCAACGTGCCTGCCACCCTACCGGAAAAGACCTGGTGGTGACTCCATTGAAAAAAAGTCTTTGCATCTATTTAAAACTTTACAAATCGTCTTTGCAACATTAAGCAATTAAGTAGTTTTTTCACTGACGCATACACATTTGAAAATAGCCAAGAATATTAATGATGAAGAACACAGCATGAGCTTGACCAAACTAGCAAAGAGTTACCTTTGTAGTGGCAATACTGTTGACGAAGCTAACTTGCTGGAAGCCTTTTTCACTTAAAGTCAAACACACTTCCCACCGAGGATTTACTTCCTCGTGGATAATCTTAAGCGCGTTACCGGTTTCATCTACTTTGTCCTTCAGATAAAGGTCCACATAACTGCGGAATCCGTTCACCTGCACGTGGGTGGAAGCAGACAAGTCATTCAGAACAGCTCCTCTAAACACTTAAATCCTGTTGAAAAGTGGGTAGAGAAATCACTCGGGCAAATTTTCTCTTTACTATGCGCTACGACATACGTTGCTTCAACAAAATTGCGCTGTTTACATGACATGAGAAATTCAGGGGTTACCATTTCTTTTAAATGCTCACTTACAGGCAGCCTCTGTCCGTTCAGGAAAACTCTGACACCCTTTGTGGATCCAGCAACATCATAGGCTCTTCGAGACATTAGTGCTACAATGTCTTTATCGAGAACTGTCATTTTGAATTTTGACAGATCAGGTTGGAAAGTGACACACGTGTAATCTTCTCCATCAAAATGTTTCAGCTTCATTTCACCGGCCTTTCCCATGTTGTCTGTCCAGGTCTGGGAAAAGGAGGTTTTTATCAGTTGCAGGTCTAACACACACGAGCAACTAGCTCAGTTTTTGAAAGCAATAAGCTGATTTACGAGTTTTAAATGCTTTCAAATTAAAAAAAAAAAAAATTGGTTAAGATTCAGATTCTGATTATGTCTGCTCATTTCATTATTCATTTCAATCGTAGTTTGTGGTACAGTAACCGTGGGCCAAATTTATTTACGTTGTGCTGAATGCAAATTACACCTAGATTTTTGGAACAAAAGCTTAGGGTCTTATTTAAAAATCTCAGGTATAATCTTACTGAAATGAGAAGCGTTCATACCTGCTTGAATAACTTTTTGTATTCCCTACATGCAGTTTCCACAGTAAATTTTTTGCTAAATATGTTGCACAGTTTGGCTCCGTAACCATTTCGTCCACCTGGAATTAGAAAGAAAGCAGATTTGCTCTTACCTTGGCTCAAAACCACCTAAGAGAATTCCAGACTAACAGGAGCTCAGTCACTTCAGGACAGTCAAAGCACGACTGTCAATAAGTGACAAAATCCTACGAACTCAGGATGTGACTACCAACCCATATTTAATCAGGATTAGCATTCAAAGAGAATTTTTCCCATTCTGCCTGCTATTACTGGAAAATAGAGACTTCTGACCGACTCGGAGCACTGTTTTCATGTGCATCAAGTACCCCCTTACCTCTCCTTTTTGTTCGGGTCACACATTCAAACCAACCAGGCTGCTCAGAAATATCAGTGTGTATTTGAGAACCTTCCCTACCTGTGACTTTCTTTTCGTTGTCATCGTAGTTGCTGGACGTGAGTAGCTGTCCAAAGATAAGGGCAGGCACATAGACCTTCTCCACTTTGTGTTCAACAACTGGAATACCTCTCCCGTTGTTCCATACGCTGATTGTGTTATTCTCTCTAGGGGGAAAAAAAGAAACGAATGTGTGTTTTGAAGGCTGCAAACGACTGAGCTGTATATGCAAAAGCTCTCGGGAAAGGCCACCATTTCATCACCACCAAATCTCTGTTCAGCAACTGCAGGAACAGCCAGCAGAGGGGGGACAAGTCAACCACAAATTCTTGGGTCTGCAGAACCGCCTAGGAAACAGACCACCACCCATAAAAATCCTCTGCCTGCGCTCAGTGACCGAGTCAAAACGCGGAGATGAAGAAAAGAGGCAAATGGCCACAACAAAAATGACAACGAAAGGGCAATCCTTCACAAGTCAGCACTCCATAAGAGACCGAGGGACTAAGCAGAGAAAAAGGCTTTTGCTGGGTCTAGCCTGGATCTGCCGCCTTGCAGAGCCCACCAGCACCGCACCAGCTCAGCACGGCAGCATCCGAGGGACAAAATCAAACATGCTCGAGTTGGGCAGGCAGTGAGCGACAAGGAAATAGAACTTACACATCAATTGTGACTTTAATGCACGACATGCTTTTATCCCTCTGCTTGTTGTCTGCAGCATTGACTAGAAGGGAAAGATTATTGTTATACGTCACTCTCAGGCAAGACAAAGCTGTTAAACTGTCTTAAGCAAAAATTCAATACAACATCACTAACAATAATCTTGGTGCACAAACATTTTGCAAGTTACAAAGGTGAGTACTACGAGTTACCGCAAAAGGAAGAATTTTGGCCTGAATGGAACTGGTTTTGTAATAGAGTGCTAATGGGGAGGACATCAGTTTCCAATATTTCCAAGCACAATGAACAAGCCTCGTACTCTGCAAACACCATCCATGGAATTGTGCAACAGGAATTACTCGGTCAACGAGAGACAGGCGCGTTTGTAAGTTCTTACGCCTGGTTGGGCTTTCTTAAACATTAATAAGCCGCGATCGGTGGAGGCAGCAGGCACACCTTACCCAGGATCTCGTCGAAGATTTTGTAGAGGCCAGGCACAAAGGTCACGTCTCTGCAGTTCAGGCCCACGTCCTCATCAAACACCCACATTTGCTGAAAAGGAGGCAGAGGGAACACGCCAAGTCCTGACACCCGTTTGCAAAACAGATGTTTTGTGCTTCAGAAACAGATGTCGAGGGTTTCCCGCTCCCCCTCGCCCCGTACCTGGGTGACTGTCTCCACGGAGCCGATGTAGGTGTCGGGCCGGAGCAGGATGTGCTCCAGCTGCGTCTTCTTCTGGTAGATGTGTTCCACCGAGAGCTGCTTCTTGGC